CCTAACCGGCAAAAATAGACCAAATACCCCGCTAGGCACGCATAGGACCCAGAGACATAACGGGAACGACTTCGAAGTATGTGTCACGATCCTCGCACGCGAATCAAGAGCACAGGCGCGAAAAACTCTCGAGGCACTCTGGATTAATTCCAGAAATTCGAAAATGAACCGCAGGGAAGAATGCGTCATTATCACGCGTGATATAGGGCAGTATATAAAACTGCTTTTCTGATATGAGGGGCACATTATACTTCCATGTGATTTCTGTGCGGTTGGTCTCTACGTGACATAGTGGAAACCTCATAGGAAGCGGTGAGTGTGCAAAGCTGTGTTCAAAGTGATTGAAATCTTGGTTTAAAGTTTCTTTGTTTGGTTATGGAGGCGTCTGGCCGAGTGGATTGCTATCAACTTGACCTTTCCAGGCTCTGAGGAAGGCGAAATCCGCCGAAACGTCAGCTTAATCGTGAACAAGGAATAATAACACCTCGCGTTTGTTCAAGAAAAATACGAAGAAAATTACTTGATCAATGCCGTGGTTAATAGAAAGTCGGTCGTGGCAGTTATTATAATTAGATTTCAGGCACTCATGAAGAAAGTGCATGAAGCTCGACCGGATTTTGAAGGAGCCATTGCTTTCATTGATCACTTGGGAAGACAGGTTTCTAGAGCTTTTGCATGAGGCTTTCATAAAATTAGTGAGTAACAGTAGAAATCACAAAAATATGTCAAATAGATAAAAACAGTCCGTATATTTTCATTTCTTCACATTCAGAATTTTTTTCATTTTTATTTGATTCTCCTCGCGTCTACTGTGCGAATTCCACCACTTCTCAGATCCAATTCGCTTCCTCGCATCCATCGCTCACGAAGGTCTTCCAAGTTTTTACGTGTGGCTTCGGTTGTTGCTCGAGGATTTTCATTTCATCTTGATTGTCGTAGAATGCTGGTCAAGTATTTCTCCATAGAGTCTTGAGATAGACGGGATGAAGCGTTCTCAATTGGATTGCAGAGAATGATTTTTTCCCAGAGCACTCCGATACCAACTTCCCGACCCCGGAGGGATCAGAGGCTTGGTTGGCCAGGAGCGGAATCGAACTGGCACCTTGCTCCTGATGACGGACATCACTGCCACTGTTCAATCCTTTCCACATTCATAAGCAGTATAACCACAAAAAAGATAAGATACTTTTACAGCGTGGTACTAAAGGATGAAGGTACATAAATTTGTTAAGAGCCTATGCATTAAAAAATCTCCATTGCAGTATCCTGTGGCAATTGCACATTAAATATGAATATTCATATATCTTATTAGGAATGGGAAGATGAATAATAGAATTTCTAAGCGATAGGTTTTCTTGCGATATCTTTTAAGTGAGTCAATTATCAACGCTTTGTGCAGTTCGTGCTCGGTTGAACAACGATCCCTTGGCACCCATTTAGTGAGTGCGTAGCCAACGATAGGGTCTGAGTCGTGCAACTACGGCAATCAATCCACTTTTGCCTAATCCGATATCTAAGAATGAATAAAGAATAACAGGTTTGATGATGATCAATTCCTGATGCATTTGATTCTGTTACACACTGAAGATGATTGAATGCACATTTGGCCCATACTCCATTTACCCTACCATGTTCGGTGCAATTTGCGAAACCCAGAGGAATGGAAGGTTTGCGAAGTCCGTAAGGAGGAATCAAACCCACGACCATGTGTTTATTGCAGAATATCTGCAGCTACTGCGCTACCAGCCCACAAATTCCTTATTTGCAAGACATTTGTATCCAGCATATAGATCCAAATTTAAAAAGTTCCATGTTACGATATTATTGAAACTGCTTCTGAACACAGTTCTCCCCAGGTTTCTTTTGAAGAATTCTTCAACGTATCACTCTTTGGAGAAGAGATCTCACCGTTACGACGGTGATATTTGTTATACCTTTTTATTTTCTGCCTACTATAATTTTGCGACAGGGTACTAAGCGAAATACAATCGCAACATTGCTGAGATATTTGCAAAACTCTGGACTGCACGTGTCTTTGGTGGGGAACGAACGCGCTATTATCCTTTCCGGCGAATAAGTTCTGTTCTGTCCCTTTGACACAACTATGTCTCCATCTCATGGGAGAAAATTACCCTATTAACAAGATATCAGTCAAGTGGAAAATGCAATCAGATTACCAGAATTTGGGGAAACCGGATGCACACTTCTCCAAGTTGCACAAGGAAGTTATTAATACTAGTGGAGCCAAAAACTCTCTTCCGCATTGAAAAAGAAGGAAATGGTGAAAACGAAAAAATTTAATGCCTTGACTTTTATCTACTTTTTATTCCTTGTTAATGGCAGAGTATGATGAGAAGTACAACCAAGAGGAGAGTAGAAATCAGTCGATAGAGTAACACAACAGGTTTCAAACAAAAGGTTGAGAGCAAGGCAAATCAAGAGCCTGAGTTGTTGTGGTGGAAGGCGCAAGAGCAACCGGTAAGGGTAATAACGAGTTTGAAGCCTTCCTGTGGTTCTGCATTTTGTTTATACCTCACCATCCCTATGGTTGCGCGGGAATAAAAATAATAAATTAATAAGAACCATTACCTATGGCCCTATTAATTACCAATCAATTCGAAAAGGCACTGATAAATTTCTCTCTCCTCTGCTGAATAACATGGATACTTCGTGAGATTCGCTTAGCCAAGGAACACGAGCATCACTTTACTTTTTTTTAAAAGAAGCCAACCATTCTTACTGACTCTGGGAACACGGTAGCTTGTGTTGGTTCGATGTGCTAATACATAGATAGGTGCACTCTTGGATGGGTCTATAGATGAAGAGAACGAGCCCTTCAGATGCCTCACCTCACTGGCATATTCGACTTCACTGTTGCACGACTGTTTTACAACTAAGAAAACCACACAGAGTTATGAACTATTAAATCGCTCTAGAAATAAGTATAGTGACGAAAACACGAAGCTGTCGGAAAGAGCCTCATTTGTTTCAAAAAAGTTACGGCAAAATATATTTCGTGAGCAGCAGCATGTCGTCTATACCGTCATTCTAATATATATGATTTCTTAAGTTTCCTCATTCTTTTCTTTTAACACTTTCATTTTCAGGTGATCGTCAACAGCGACAAAACTGTTCGCGATGCTCTTGAGCAAGCTAAGGTGCTTCCTACTTAAACTCCACTGTAAATTTGAAATCAATTCTTGAGAAAAAAAGCAGTAAATAAAAGGGTTAAGATTGTGATTATAACTAAGTCTCAGCTTAACTGGGTTCATTGCCGTTTTGGGCTCTCCAGATCAATCCCGTTGACGGGTGATTGCTGATGGCAAAAAGATCGATAGAACTAGCTGAGAGACAGGGAAAACCAAGAAGTTGGATGGTGTGGTGGTGAACGCGTTACTCCCCGGTAAGGACAACAGCACGTGTTCGTTCCCCACCGCATACACCTGCGGTCCGGAGTTTTGCAAATATCTCAGCATTACGTACGAGTTATATTTCAATTCTTGAGCTTCTAAAGATTTTCCACCACCAGCGAAGGAGTATTCAGTCTATAAGACCTACTTTTCCTACAATTTCTTGGGATCCAACTAATAAAAAATGAACTTTTATGACATTTGGCAGGAATGCAAGCTCAATTTGGGCAAATGTCTGATCATATGATCGCAACCGAAAAGAAAACGAATCCACTTGGACCAGATTTTTTCCTCCTCCTTCCTTAAATGGTTCACATCCAATATTAGCTTTAAAAATTCACACTTTTTTTTGTAGAGCATCATATTTAGGGAAAACTGAAGCTTCACACCACACTCATCGATGGCCAGATCGTTTCCGCCGCCGAACTCGCCGGTAGAACGACTCGCTCCCATAGTGTTCCACCGACGGCGGTGAGTCTCCGTAGTTTCACCACTACTTTTCACTCATTCAGCTACTTGCGTAGTTGAATACTGAGGTGGTGGTTCTCATAGTCTTTTCATCATCTTGTCGCTTAGGGTTTTTCACAATATATCCATTATACTGGCGCAACAAAAAATGCCCTAAGAGGGGATGAACCAAATGCCATTAATGTAAGTTATTCTGGCTTCATTTAACGCATTATTTAGAACTGTGTTCATCTCACGTAGCCTGTCGACTAACTAGCTCTAGATTCCTTGCGTAAGAAACACAACCAGAATCTAGCTACATTGAAATTCTATTTCTAGAGATATAGAAATATGATACATACATTGATGTATTTAAAAATACTATTTCAACATTTCGGATTGAACTAAAATCAATCTTAGATTAACAGATTTGCCTCCGTATGAGTCACACATGAATCATTCTTGTCAATTAGTGATTGTGCCGTTCAACTTTAAGCTGAAATGCTTAAGATCATGATTTAAAAAAAAACAATCAGAACCCGTTGACTTTGTCCACCAAAACTCAGTCCTTGCTTTTCGCCACACTTTTAAAATTTAAGTTGTTTCTTTAGCCTTTAGGCCTAATGAAGTTCTCTTATAACCAACCCCTCGTTGTCATATGGTTGAAAAAATGCATGTTCATTAGTCATTCAGTGGTTAAAGGAGAGCCGTTTTATGAAATATCAGTTTGTTGCTTCAATTTTTTTCATGTCATTTAAGGTTTCGCTAATCACTTAGAAATTACACGCACCATAAGAGCAAATTATAGCTTCTTCTACAGGTTCATTAGGTTTCAAAGTCCTCAAATTTTCGAGTAACCCAACAATTACTGGAAAGCACCACAAAACCCGGGCTAATTGTGTTAAATTCTAACTCGACAAGCTATATATATACATATATATGTATATATATACATATATATATATATATTAAACTTTCACGGCCAGATTACACATGCATAACTTGGCTGTGAAATTTTAAGGGTACACGCTGTTAAATAACGGATAATATCTTGCAGAATCGTGGCTATCACTCATATCCGCCAGCACATTCACGATCACCGTCCTCCATGGAGTCTGCTCCTACGACCTACCGCAATCGGACTGGATCACAACCACCGACTCAGACTGCGGGTAATTCAGAATCGTTTCTACAACATCGTGGCTCTCATGATGGACTACAGGTGAGTTTTTGCGCATGAACGCTCTCAAATAGGCGAAAACGTTTTATGGATGTCAAAATTACAACCTTAACGAATTCTTTATAACTTTAGTTGTTCTCTTGAGCAGCTATCAACATCATTGTCTTTTCTTTTTCGTGCGAATGAACGTGACTAACTTTGAATTTGATCTTGGTCATGAACACTGAATATGGACAAAAATACGCTTGGATTTATCGGTCAATTTCCTACTCATCCACTCTTTCTCTTTGCTACGGCATATTTCCCCTCCTTGTAATATGATGGGTGCATTCGTATTTCATCTTTGATACATCTTCGATCCAAAGGCGTTATTCGAAAGATCATCGATGAACCTACACCTTAGCTCGTTATCCGTAGAGCGTTGCTCATTAGTTTTTGATCTTGCAACTCATTAGTTGTTGAAGTTGGCAACTCCTCATCAGAAGAAATCCTATGATCTCCACAGATGCAAATTGCAGCCGTTACCCTGCTAAGTGTAAAGCACTGTCCCTTGTTTCTACTGAAGAGCACGAGAAAAAAAATTTTTTTGGACATGTTGGTATTTCAGGTGGAGTTTCCCAACCGATCGTTGCCTTATTCCAGAAATCGATGAGAGGATTTTAGTGTTATCTATTTCTTATCTTTTCTTTTTTTCGTCCACCTACCGGTTTACAGAATTATTTTTCTTGATGGCTTTACCCAATTAAATGAAGAAAATGTGTAAAATATAAAAGCAAATAGTTTAGCAAGTAAGTTTGTCTGACTGGCGCAAAGCTTTCAGAGATCCAGCTAGAAGCGTTTGAGCTGCTATTATGAAACCTACTATGAATTTTATTCAAGCGAGCAAACATGGCGCCAGTTCATTATAAGATAGCGATCAATTACCGAGTATTTTTTGAGCTTGTAGTTACAGTTAGTTATTACTAGAGTTTACCTTGCTTTTATTTGAATGTTGTGCAATATTAACTTTCGAGGCACCTTCATCGGGTTATGGCTACAAGTACTCGCCCTATGTATCGTATTCACAGAACCTACTTTATGGAATGCCACCACACAATGGAATGCTCTTAAGGTATTCTAAAACTTCTGTATTGTTTTCTATCAATTTTTCTAAAAAATGCTCTTTTAGATTTCTGGCCAGTCCATTTCCATTTGGTGGTTATCATCGAAGTTTTATTGGTCCCAACAAATATCACCGCTTCGGCGGCTGGGGTGGTCATGAGTACTACTCATCATCCTGGGGTCCAATCTGGTAATGATCGGAAGGAAAAGCATCATGAACATCTCTTTTCAAAGACCAGAGCTCTCATTTTTTCTACACTCACTTTACAACGACACATTCAATACAATCAAGCATTCTTATTCTAATGTTGTTGTCACTTCTCAATAAAAATTTCTTTATTCACTTGGTGTTTTTTGACTGCAACTGGTCGCTGCGTGTTCAGATTTTTATAGCGGGAATGAATGTATGGATCGCTTGAAAAACGAAAAAAAAAACAAAAAGGAGAACAGTTAAATGACTCAGTTTGTGAAGAACCAGTACGTCAAATTTTTACTATTTCGTGGAAAACATATGGCGCAGTGGTTGGAGGCGCCACTGCGACACACACAGGAAATCGATTCCCGCGCCCATGGCTCACCATGCCTTCCATCCCTCCGGGGCCGGCAAATTGGCACCAGACTCGTCTGGGAGGATAACAGCACTGGCTCGATACATCGGTAGGCCACCGCGAGTCATACATTGTAAAGGCCAGATATGCATTCAATCACCTCCAACGATACTTAATGAAGTCGAATGCATGGCGCATCCCGCATCCCGATCAACGTCGAGAGCTTTATCCTTTATCCTTTTTGTGGAAAACGTACATGCTCAATGCTGAACAGAAAGATTTCGTTAGTCATGAAATAGGTCACATCACAGAACTTAATGAAATGTTCAATGTTTGATGTACACAACATAAGAAACAGTAAACTTTAAATCATTAAAAGGACTTTTGTGAACATTCGACTAAATGTTTTTGTACGTACATGTTCAGAGTTAGAATTCACTTATCTCTGTTATCTTACTTACTTGATACTTGAATGCCCTCACTGGTTGTGCGGGCCCCAGTATAATTTCCATTTTTTCGGAGATTTCCTGGTCAAGCCATTGCGGTTCCCTGGGATGCCGAGGTCAGCCTGACCAAAGTCTGTCCCAGGCCTTGACCACCACAGGCGGTCGCAGCCCTTGTGGATCAGAGGGAGATTTGCCTGCATGTGCGCCTAATTCCATACCAGGACAGTGGTGGTTCCTGGCATTAGTTTACTCTTAACTAGGCTTCCTGATGGAAACGTCGGACTCCTTCTCAGTCTGGGAGACCCTATCAGATGAATGAATCCCACCGCTGTCTATCGCAGCCCGACACCCAAAAAGACCTACCAGCCACGACGAGGCGGTAAACCGTAGGAAGGATCTCTGCCATCTACTCCGTTTTTATTTGTGTGTTCTTATGAGCTGGTCTTCTTGAGCTGATGCGAGGTTGGTATAAGTTGTCGTTGTTTTGGCGTGGTTTTTGTTGTTGGTGTTGCTGATCGATGGCTGTCGTTTCAGCGAATTCGCCTTCCTCAGACCGTCCTGTTACGAGTGCGAGTCCGTTTTTATTTCACTTTATATGACCCGTCTTCATAACTTTCCATTTGGATCCTAGCACTTCTCACATTCGATTCGTTTCCTCTCATCTATCATCCACTAAAGTCTTCCAACTTTTACGTGTGGCTTCGACTTGACGATTTTTACTCCGTCTTGGATGTCATAAAATGCTGGTCGGGTCGATTCTTAATGAAGCACTGAAATATTCGAATTAACGAAGAACATGTGATACAAACATGGTCAGATCATCACAAATAGTTCGCCGATCAAGGACACGAGATTCTAGACATGTTTGCGATATTCAGAGGAAATGGATAACGAATTGAGAGAGCAACTCAGTAGGAGACACTGAACGTCATATGCTCTCTTGGCGTCCAACACACAAGCCAGTAACCAACTTTTATTCATGCCTTCATACATGTCAACTTCTATAACACAACGGTTCCCTAGTCTTTGTATTATGCTTCAAGACATTTTCTAATAGTTTGGATGTTTCGAAAACCGCATGCAATGCGGTGTGTCAGATTCAAATGGGTTTTATTTTGATTAGTAAAGTTTCGTTCGAAGCAAATTATGACATTTTAAATAATACAGTTAACAACGCTCATTTATTGGCGAACAACCTAATGGGTGGCACGATGTGTCACAGTGCTTTCCAAAAATTTGTCCATTTCATACATCCTCCAGTACTTTTCAGAATTTGTTTACACAACACGAAATCGCATTTTCATATTTTGAGAAAATTCTAGTACTCGATTCGTTCCATCTCACCACTGCCATCTACGGACGGCTTCGACATTTTTGAGTAAGGGTTCGGCCTCTGGTTGAGGACTTTTGACCTTGTCAACATGGTGAATTCTGTTGAATCCATTTAACCTGAAATCCTGAGGTAATCGTGCTAGGGCATTCACACATTATCATCAGAACAAATCGTAAACACACGTGAACTGCTGGGAACAACTTTGATCTGGGACAAGTCTCTTACCTATTTCCGGCCGCCGGAGGAGTGTAAGGTTCCGGTCCCATCATCAGCTGTGTAGATGGGCCAACGGATAGAATAACCTCGTTTTTAAGGCTAATACTTACCCAGTTGCTTAACCCAGTTACCGCGCTGTATACCGACGTGTAGAATGACTCCGCAATGCAAACCATCTTCGAACTTATTGTTGAACATGAAGGAAGAATAAACATGCATGGCTTGTCCATCCAGCAACTAATGGTTTTCTTAGAGTGCCTAAACTGCTCCATTTTCAGACGGTCTGGGAAATATTTCGCGCAAATAATGGAGTTGGTAATGGAACAGCGAATGTCACCAAGCCTTGCCATTGTGTTTATGTCTAAGATATGAGCCCCTGTTCTCGATCTCTGGCCACTACTCTACAGCAGATATGTAGATGATTGTTTTTCGTCTTCTGTACGCAGGAGGAGATGGAATTATTGAACGAGCAGTTTGAGTACATAAAGTTTCCCTGGGAAAAACCGAGAAAAAACTGGCTCCCGTTTCTGAATGTTCAAATAAACCTATCAAGTAGCGGTTACTTGGCAGAGTGATCCCGAAAGCCAAGTAACAAAAATATCCTCGTTCATTTTCATTCTTCCCACCCTTCACACACAATGAAGGCGCTTGTGCGAAACATGTTTCGAACAGCCACCTCTGTGTGCACTACCAGGGAACTAAAGGAAGAATCGCGCGACTTGGCTCGGCAAACAGCCATCTCAAATGGCTACGAAATAGTAACCCAGCGAGATAAGTTTAGAAGGAGAGCGACGCGCCCAAGCGGAACACTTGGCCAAAAGAAAGTCTCGTTCATTTGCCTTTTATTAGCGATGAAGTAAGCGTAGCTAACGATAACGATGCTTAAGAAGAGCAGGTCTAGAGGAATCGGTAGCGATAGTTGAAAGACCAACGGCTACTCTACGTCGTCAATAAGTTCGTAACTGCCTGTATGACGGTCTATGTGAAACAACACATTGCGTAATTTGCCCTTAGGCAGGGACGGTGGTTGCATGAGTTCAGGTACGATATACCTGATCTCTTGTAATAATTGCGGAGATGAATATATTGGCGAAACGAGCGGACCTTTGTGTAACCGTATAAAAGAACATCTAGATGGTAAACGAAAACTAAGACAAAGTGGCCTACTAGGCACGCATAGGATACAAAAGCATAGCGGAGACGATTTTGAAGTAAAAGTCATTATCCTTGCATAGGAGACTAAAACACAAGCGCGAAAACTTCTTGAGGCTTTTTGGATAAATGCCAAAAACTCTTCAATGAATAGCAGGGAGGAATGCCCAGAGGTCATACTTGACCTGACCCCGTATGTTCGTTCCCATCAATTTCTGATGTGGGATGTTGCAGTCATCATCCATATTCGACTGTAGTCAGCTGTTCTAACAGTCCTCATTGGAAGTCACGTAAAAAGCGGTGAGTTTTTCGGGAAGCTGTTAATCATGTAGTTACCATAGAGTTTTTCGTCTTATTGTAAGTGTGAATCGTTTGGCCAAGTAGATTGTATATCAGTATACCCTTCCAGGCTCTGAAGAAGGCGATACTGCCGAAAGGTCAGCTACTGTTGCATTGTATTGTGTTTTTCTATGGAAGCAAATGCATGTTATTTAACAACCTCGCGACTGCTGAACAAGAAAACGACGCTTGAAAAAGCTTCCATTTTGGAAATCATGAAGATAACACTTTCATGATGTGTTCGAAAGTTTCCGGCTACGTTGCTTTGACCTTGCCGAAACTTTCCTGGATTGAATAGGCCACATCTATTTACGTTTGCCATTCACTTGACCGAATTTTTAAAACATCAGGGCCAGGCGATGAAACCCTCCCACTATCGTGCTCGCCTGAGAATGTTCTTTTTTTAAAGTGCCAGCACCTAAAGCTGATCAAATCGACCGCCATCAATTTACGGACCTTCATTAGTGAACCACATTGTGCTAATTAATCGTTTAGGTGAGGTACGTTTTCATTGTGTAAACAAAGTTGGAAGTAGTAAAAATGTCCTTCTTGTGAACTGCAATAGAGTGGAATCGAGGTCAGAAAAGTATACAAAGGGATGGTGAAAGTGCAATGTGTGTATATGCATGCGTGCATGTATTTATGTACGTGAATATGAATGTGTCGACGTATGTATTTGTATGCACTTCTGTCTATTTGTGCATGTTTGTACATCTTCTGCCTGGGTGAGCATGTATATGAGTATGAGTATGGATATTTGTATACAAGTCTCGCTTTCTGAATATTTATATACGCGTAAATTTACAACTTCTTTGCATCCATATTTATTTATATGTGCATATATAGAGTTCACGCTCAACAAGATGAGTATCTCCGAATGCTCCAGTTATGTCTATCTAAGTAGGGAAATCAATATGTTGAACGACTTAGAACTCCAGAGCTGAGCACAGGGAAACGATCGGCTTGGAGAGCTTTCAAAAGCATCGAGGATGTAGCGAAGAGGACAAAGAACACCCGACTCCGTGCCCACCTTTTCGACTCAACGGTACTTCCTGCCCTAACGTATGCGTCAGAAACCTGGTCGCTGCGTAAACAGGATGAAAAATCATTCAACGTTATTGAACGCGCAGTCGAAAGGACTATGCTAAGAGTATCTCGTT